ACGATGTACAAATGCGCTTTACACAATTGATGTGTGTATGGATTGGGATAACAGTTGTATGAGCCCCTAATAAAATGTTAAAAAAGAAAAAAATAAAATAAAATAAAATTGAAAAAAAAAAAAGAGCTGGGCCAGTGCCAATGAACCACACATCATCTGCTCCAGGTAAGTACAGTGTAGGTCACTAGGCCAGCGGGCCCCTCAGAACAGCTGGGATCAAAGGGTCAGGGGAGCGGGGTAGGATGCTATCACTGAGTGGTAGCCGGGGGAGGGGCAGCGCAGGAGAGGGTCAAGTTGGAATGAACACAGGTGCTTGTTGTGGGGAGGATGAGGAAGGGCTGACCTCCAGGGGGGCGGGGAGAGTCCGAGGATGCCCTTGAGATCATTAGGTGGGGAGGGTCTTTAGTGATATGCAGCAGGAGGACAGCACTGGCCTAGGGCATCTGGGGATAACCCGGGAACCCAGGCCAGGTGCCGCGGAACACTAGACAATGAATCCCTGACCTTTGGGGTACATGTCATACTCCAGAGGCTGCATCGGTGAGACCCCCAAATGGGAACTCCACTGGGTGAACTGGAGTTCACCCTACCCCAGATACACTTGTAACCTGAGGACTTAAACTGGAAACACAATGGTGTCTGAGGTAGAAGAAGCCAGCTGTACCAAGAGCGGTGCACTGTTGGTTGGCGAATACACAAGGTCTTGGTACACAAGGCCCTGTATGCTGTATTAAGATACATAATATCCCGACAACCCTGTGACAGCCATTGTTATATTCTGCTTATGCTCATTTATATTAGGGTGTATCTCAGAGGTGTGTCACCACTGGGGCTCACCCTCTTGAAATTGTGTTATTTGTTTTATTACTTTTCAGAAAATGAAAGCCAGGGGTGTTGAGCCTACAGGGAAAGAAAATATAACATGGGTTTGGGGGAAGGAGGATATAGAGGGGTGCAGGAGACAAGAGGGAGATGATGTCAAGAAGTCCTGGTTTGGAAAACAAGTACGGGCATGCAAGAAATGGTACAATTACATTTGGCATGATTGAACTATGGAATGAAAGAAAGAAGGAAAGAATGAACGGCATAGATCCAGGAATGGGTTTTGGACATGCATGAGATCCTAGCTCCAACTTAAGAACAATCAGTTCTTACATCATGGCCCCGCTTGATACTCACCTTCATGAAATGATCCCTGAAGATAAGGGTGCTCCAGCAAAGTGTGGTGAAGAAAGCAGATAGTGCCTGGCTATCAATAAAAATAGTGTCTGGGGTCTTAAAGGTTTGTATTCAAACAAGCAGCCATCTAAGCGAGAAGTCAACTGGGTCCACATGGAAGAAGCATACCAGTTGTGTTATCCAAAGATGGTAATTATAAAACTCGATTACGGTGAGGAGAAATGCATCAGAGCAAAAATTATGAACACTCAATTTGTGGAGGCTATGGGGAAGGAGGGAGCCCAAATCCACCTACAGAGTATCTAGTCAGACTGAGCCCCTGGCAGATCCACCTTACTATCAGGCAGAGACCACTGTAATCTTGATTATGCTCAATTGAACTCGACACTTGGCCAGTTGACCCCGAAAGACTCGAGCTAAATTTGCTCTGGGTGCATGTATCTCTGACTGGTTTGATGACAGACACTTCTTCCCTAGCCTTCTGATTATTGTTGGGGGTCTTTTTCTTCGTACGCATTATTACTGTTGTTGTCTGTATACTATAATGTGTTTACTCTTACCACCTTAGTGTGATTTTGTTTTCTATTGTTTTCTGTTGGGTCTCCCAGCTGTGAGACACAGGAGTGGATGCATAATGATAATAAAGGATACAGGGGCTATAGGGAATATGGGGAGGGGGATTTCCAGAGTAACGAATGATGACAGGAGCGGGGAGGGAGCATTCGATGGATTGTGATTGCATAAATCGTCTTAAAGATAAATTAACCATGGGGGAAGGGAATGCTCTAAAATTGATGAGGGGGTGATTGCACAATTCTCCATGATATGATTGAATGATTGAATTATGATATGTAAATTACTTGCCAATAAAACTGTTGAGGGAAAAAACCACCATACCAAACCAAACTCAATGCCATCGAGTCAATGCTGGTTTCTAGTGACCCTATGGGATAAGGTAGAACTGTCCCTGTGAGTTTCTGAGACTATAATGCTTTACAGGAGTACAAAGCCTGTCTTTTTTCTAAGGAGTGGCCGGTTATCTTGAACTGCTGGTCTCATGGTTAGCAGCCCAATTTATAACCACAACACCACCAGGGCTCTTTAAGCTCTAATATACCACTAAAATATATATATTTGGGAGATCTTTCCAGATTTCCAGGATCCCTGGTGGTACAGTAGATGTGATGGGTTGCTAACTGCAGGATCGGCAGTTAGAAAGCCCCAGCTGTTGGGATAAAGATGAGACTTTTCACTTCGTTAAAGATTTACAGTGTCAGGAAACCCACAGGCGCAGTTTTACTCTGTCCTACAGAGCTACTATGAGTCAGAATGAATTTGATGGCAGTGTTTC